ATTTGGTTAGCAAACTGCTCTTGGAAAGGTACAGCACCCCTGATTGCCCTGATCGCCCTGATCACCATATTTTTGTACATGAATACATGTAGACTTTTCTACATCAATAAGTGTGAATTGTTGTATATTAAAAAATAGAATAAGATCTACTCCAAAAATAAGACTTAGTGTGTTTTTTTGAGCCAAAAAATATATAAGACAGTGTCTTATTTTCGGGGAACCACGGTATTAACAAAAATGCATCTTATTTGTGTATCACTCCGCTGTAGATCCTCAAATCATCCCTGAATTGGTGCTGATACTGTCCTTCCTTCTGGAGGGTGGCTACTTTTGTTCCTCATGGTCCCTGCGTGCGTTGTAAAGTAGCCACCGCTCCAAGCTCATTCCTGTAAGGGACTACAAGCTCACCTTTTAGTTTACTAATCTGTATTGAGATCGTAGTCCATCACGGGAGTGAGCTTGGAGCGGTGGCTACTTTTACAACACATGCAGGTTGGGGTTTTTTTCTTCCACGCAGGGAGGAGGGCACAGCAAGCAGTGGGTGGGTGCAATAGCCAGCCTGCTATTGGCTATTACAATTTGAAATCATCAGCCCACTACCTGCTGTATTTACATCCGGCTGCGGAATCTTGCCACTGGCAGCTGTCATTCCCTGGCTAAAGACATACAAGCGCCATGTGCTTACAATACAATTATTAAAAGAAAAATAATGCAAGGTGGAAAAAAAGTCATTTTCGGTTTCGGCCTGACACAATCTGCTGTGAGAGGTGCGTTGCAGTGCCATTCTTTTCAATTGCACCCATAAGTGTGATCACCCGCACTGGAATGCATGGTCCCGCAATGCTGTGCGATTGCAAAAAATTGCGCACGCAGTTTTATTCTTATGTAAACTTTATGTTTGTAACACTTCATTTGCGTATTATATTTTAAATTTAAGGATGGTATTTATATATTTTTTTTTAGGGCTGGTAATGATAAACATTTTCGTGTTCGATTAATCGAAATTTTTGATCGATTTAATTTCGATTAATTATAACGCACATACAGATCCAACTACATTGGCCTATACACATACAGCACAGCAATGAGGTAATAAAATTAACTAGTATCACACTAATCCAGCACATTATTAATCTCACGTGCCCCACTCAATATGGCCGCCGCTTGAGTGGGGCAACTCAGAATAATAACGTGCTGGATTAGTGTGATCCTAGTTCATTTTGTTACTTCATCGCTGTGCTGTATGTGTATAGGCCAATGCCTTGGCTGGCGCTCGTGCAAAAAGTTTCTAAAAAATTTTAATCTATCAAAACGATTAATCGAGAAATTAATCATTATTTTGCACAGCCCTAATTTTTTTACATTTTTATCAGATTAATTGAAAAAATTATTGGCCAATTAATCGATTTATGAAAATAATCATTACTTGAAGCCCTACACTTTTGTTTCTGGGTCCTACTATGGGTACAAACCACAAATAAAGTATCTCCATGCACATCAGAAGTAGGATGTAAGAATATGGGTTTAATATGAAACAAGGTCAATAAGGTAAACAGCCTTTAAGCCTGCACCAGGTATGTCAGGTATAGTGTTTATGCAGATTTATGTATTTCTCACAAGAACATTCATTCAGATCTTAAAGTACAACTGAAGCCGAAACTTTTAGTGATAATGGTCTCACTGCAATGCATTTCAATGGAGCTGTTCACATATCACAGCTCAATGTCGCCTGTAGCTCGTCGCTCAAACATAACCTATTGTTCGGCAGATTTCGTGCGATTTGGCACAATAGACTTTAGGGCTGCAACAACTAATCGACATAATCGACTATAATCGATTATTGAAAAAGTTGTCAACTTTTTCAATAATCGATTAATCTGCTTCCGATCAGTTGGCCCTGTTCACGGCTCCACACACGCTGCGCTCCGCACCTCCTCCCCACCTCACACTTGGCCCTGCCAGACCCGCCCGCATCCACGCTCTTCACGCCGCACCGTCTCACCGCCCGCCCACATCCACGATCGGCACAGGGACGCGGGGAGATGTAGTAAGGAGGAGCAGGTGCGGGGGGATGACAGCTGCCGATAGACGGGTCCGATCTCAGAAGCAAGTTGCTGGAAGACTGCTCAGGTAAGCCTGCACTTTCCCACACATGGTGCTCTATAATGTATTCCTCTATAGCTGATGGTACATTCTGCTGTACTGTATATTATACAGAGCAATGCACCATCAGCTATAGAGGAATACATATACCAGCAATACATTATACACTGTATGTATAATGTATTGCTGGGATTTGTTGTATTCTGCATTGCGCTGTATAGAGGACTACAAATCAAGGAATAATACATTTTGCAGCGCAATGCGGAATACCACCAGCTATAGAGGACTACAAAACCCAGCAACAGTACATTATACAGCGCAATGCAGAATACCGCCAGCTATAATGTACTATTGCTGAGATTTGTTGTAGTCCTCTATAGCTGGTGATATTCTGCATTGCGCTGTATAATGTACTATTGCTGGGATTTGTAGTCCTCCTATAGTCGGTGCCATTCTGCATTCATTGCTGTATAATTTTACACTTTCCTTTTCACTATATTGCACACCACACTATTTTTTTTTCTTTTTTACTTCCACCGGTCCAAGCTTGCTCCTGTTATTGAGTGCAATCTCAATACAAACTAGTAGTCCCATCACTGGAGCCATTTTTTAAAATGTATTATATTGTTTATCTGATTAACCGAACTTAATAATCGGCTAACTAATCGATTTTGAAAATAATCGTTAGCTGCAGCTCTAATAGACTTCAATGGTGTAGCTCAATGTCGCGCTACAGAAGTGTCACTTTTGCACAGAAATATAAGAAGGAACATAAGCAGGAACAGGGCCGGCCTTAGGGGTGTGCGAGCAGTGCGGCCGCACAGGGCGCCATGGCAACAAGGGCGCCGTGCGGCCGACACAGCTCGTCCTGGGGGCGGCTTCTCTCCCCCCCCCCGCTGGGCGCTGGCCATCCGATATGACAGCGCTCTCCTGCTGGGCGCAGGAGGGAGCGCTGCCTGCTGTCAGGATGGCGAAGCGGTGAGGGGGAGAGGAGCCGTGCCCGCAGCTGTCAGGATGGCCGAGCAGGTAGGAGATCGGAGCCGCTGTCATCCTGTCAGTTTCAGGATGACAGCGGCTCTGTGCGTGGCAGAGCGGGGGATGGGTGAATATCAGTGATATTTACCGGTCGTCCGTGTGAGAAGGACAAACACGGGAGCGATCGTCTGATCACTACGGTGTTTGTAAATAACTGGGGACACATAGTGCTATGTGTCCCCAGTTATGAATGAGCAGGCTGTGATTTACATCGCAGCCTGTTCATTCAAGATTTCACCAATGGGGAGAAGCA